CAAGCTCCTACTAAACCCTAGAAAGCCCCCTGCGAAACCCTTGCCGAGCATCAAGTGACTGAGGAGTTGCCTGTGCCTGATGGAGAGGCCGAATCACGGTTAACCCTTAACCCTAAACCCTAAACCCCTAAACCCTAAACCCCTAAACCCCTAAACCCCTAAACCCCTAAACCCCTAAACCCTAGACCCTAAAGGTTTAGGGTCAGGGGTTCGAACGGGATTCCTGCGAGGGTTTTGGCGTTAAAAGCCGAGGCTTACTTAGAGGCTCAAGGACACTGTACTGGTTTAGGGTTTAGGGTTTCGGGTTTGTATTGTCAGCACTTCATCTGAGAGTAGAACAATAAGAATAACTAAGTACTGTAGTCTCATTCCTTTAACCCTACGTTACATGCTAAGTCTCTTGATTCTTTAGGGTACTGTTGTTGGGGACCCAGGCAGGGTTTCGGTATGTGGTTTTGGGGATAGTTGGGTTGGACTTTTTTGGGTTGTTTGTAGCCTGCGTACCGTCCAGGGGAGAAGAGGTAAGCGTCCCCAGGATTCATATCCCCAAACCCTAAACCCTAAACCCTAAACCCTAAACCCTGAAGGAAAGCCCTAAGCCCTACATCCCTTTTTTTGGTGCAGAGAGGCCGAATTAAGCTCCAAAAACCCGTAGATATTGATCAACCTGGAGACCACAGGCTGCGAAGCCCCCGGATCTCAAAACCCTGAACTCCTGAGGCCCGAGACCCCAACACCCTCAGGCCCAAACTCCTAAACTCCTAAAACCTAAACTCCTAAACCCTAAACCCTAAACTCTAAACCCTAAACTTACTAAACCCTAAACCCTAAACCCTAAACTCCTAAACCTCCAAACCCGGAAATTTTCAAGCCCAAGCCCCAGGAAAAAGCTCAGGGGGTCTGGATCGATTATAATCATAATCCCTAAGCCCTAAACCCTAAACCCTTATAGTCTTAACCCCTAAACTCTAAACCCTTATAATCATAATCCGTAAACCCGAAACCCTAAACCCTTGTAGTCATAATCCCTAAACCCTAAACCCTTATCATCAAAAATCCCTGAACCCTAAACCCTTATAGTTTATCATCCCTAAACCCTAAGCCCTAAACCCTGATCTCTATATCTAGGGTTCGTGGCTTAGGGTTCCATGCACGATGCCATCGGAGGTAATGGGGCTTGGGGGTTGGGTTTTTTTAGGAGCTTTAGGGTTGAGGAGTTCGGGGTTAGGCTTGCGGGTTTAGGGTTTATTAGGTGGGGGCTACGTTTAGAGTTTAGGGTTTAGGAGTTGGGGTTTAGGGTTGGTTTAGGAGTTTAGGGTTTAGGGTTTAGGGTTTAGGAGTTGGGGTTTGGGGTTGGGGGTGTGGATTGATTTAAACTGGGGTCGCATGGTACAGATGCCGTTTGAGGTTTCTGGGATCTTAGCGTTTTCTCGACTGTTCGTGGAGGCCCTGTGGGTTCCTTCTGTGCCTTCTTGGATTAATTGAATTTAGGGTTTAGGGTTTAGGGTTTAGGGTTTAGATTCGGACCCTCTATCACTGCTTCCTCGCAAGCATGTTCGCTTGTTTTCTAGCACTGCGTCCTCGCAAGTGTGTTCGCTTGTTTTCTGGCGGGTCTGGGTTTAGGCTTTGGGGCGTGGGGTTGGGTTTGGGGTTAAATTGAGTTGGGTTTTAGGGGTTTAGGGTTTAGGGTTTAGGGTTTAGGGGTTTAGGGTTTAGGGTGCTCTCAGGTAGTTGAAGCGACGGAAGCTGAGACGTGCGAGACCGGTAATCCTGCCTCAACCCCATCCAATGATGCAGAAACGCCCCGGACAAATGTTGGGGTCGGAAGAAGTACACATTCGATACCCCAATAGTTCCTATACGCAAACCTATTCTAAATATTTAGACCCCTGCATTGCCCAGAGCCCTAAACCGCAACCGGAGGCACCAGCTGGGCCAAGGCGGACGCCCACACATGCTTGTTTTTCGCTGACGGTTCGAACTACTCTGGGTTTAGGGCTTTACATAAGTCAACACGCTCCCAAACCCCTAAACTGTGAACCCCTGAATCTTGAAAGCCTCAACCCCAAACCCCGAACCGGCCTAAACCCTAAACCCCACACCCTTGACTTCAGGCTTCAGGTTTGTGGGGCTTGCGCAAGTCGGGCCAAACAGGGGCAAGTTCATGACCCTGAACCATCAACCCCGGAGTCTAGGGTTTAGGGTTTAGGGCTTAGGGTATAGGAGTTACAGCAGAGCAGGTAGAGACTGATAGCCCCCCCCCCCCATCAAAACACTCAACTGTGCCAGACGTCAAACATCTTAATGCTGTGCTTGAAGAATCGGACAGAAGGATGTGCACCCTAAACCCTGACCCTCGTACCCTAAACCCCACGCCTCAAAATTGCAGTGTGCAACACAAGTCCATCCTGGATTAAGTAGGCGCCTACCCGGAAAGTCCTAACGCCCATGCCCCCAACACCATGTTACAAACCTTTCCCAACGATCTGACCGCAAGGAAACTTAAATCATAGCTCTGCCATAAAACCCTAAACCCTAAACCCTAAGCCGTTAACCCAGGCCCAGACGCAAGCTTATTAGGGCTTTGCGACATGAGGGCATAATGTCGAAGGTCTAGGGTTTAAGGTGTGAAGAAGTAGCCTGAATCCGTAGGAATGCGAGTCGTGAGGGCTCCTTACTAAGGTAATCTGATATGCAAAACATATACCACCCCAAAACCCATTGAAGATCCTGAGGCCCCTTTAATAATGTAGGAGCCTAAATAATTACCAATACTATTTTGGGGGCTTTCTTGTTATACCTACAGTATCATATACCCCCAAACCCTATACCTACAGTATCATATACCCCCAAACCCTATTCTAATTTTGAAGGCCCCTTTAATACCGTCCTTCGTGCGAGCCCTCGGAGAGGAGCTGGGGGCTGCTCACCTACAGTGGCAGCTATAACTCGCTCATTTCATACGGTAACCAACCAGAACTCACCCCTTTTTGGCGAAGTCCTGGTACATGAAATTATAAGGGTTTGTAGTTCGGACCCCACAGAAAAGCAGGTTCTGCCAAGCCGTCTAAGCTGTAAGGGGCGTGTTGCAGTCAAGAAAGCAAAGAAAGATGCCGACACGAAGCCACAAAACAATAAAATTATAATGTCGTCTTCTTCAATGTCTGCTGTTGCGAGAGAGACCGACAAGATTGGCGATAAGTTAGCTCTCCAAGTCAAGCTTGAAGAGTTTAAGGTGACGCGGCTTCAGTTGGAGGAAAGTAAGAAAGAGCAGAAGCTTCGGAAGAACCAGTACCACAGCAAGAACGATGCGGATGGTCGGTCCAGGTGCTACAGAAGCCAGCAGAACACAAAAAGGTGGCAGCAGGGTGCCTGCCTCAATGTCAAACGAGGAATCGATGCTGCTGGACAAGTGAGCACTTGAACCCTAAACCCTAAGCCCCTAAACCCTAAACCCCTAAACCCCTAAACCCTAAACCCCTAAACCCCAGACCCTAAACCCTAAAACCCTAGANNAAACCCTAGACCCTAAACCCTAGACGTGGGGGTTTAGGCTTCAAGCGCGTAGGCTTCAGGTTTGAGTGCAGGGTCTAGGCTTTTGAGTCTCTGGGCCTAGCCGGCCTAGTCGCTGTAGTAGATTTCCCACTCAAACCTTGTACGACCATGCGAAGCATCATAAGCAAAGAAGCGCAAAGTCCAAAGCTGAGTGTCCAAGATATTAAACCCTAAACCCTAACCCTAA